GAAAATAGGTAATCATACTTGGTATCGAGGGATCGCCTATGGTGATGATGATTATGGATAAATATTTTTATTTTAATCTTGATAACGGTTCGATACTGATTGGAATATTTATTTTTATAATAATTCTTGTAGAAATGGACTTCTCTTGATGCTCGGGTGGGTTTTTCAAATTATTCGAACTTTATTAATTGAGCGAGATCAGGGCTATCAAAATAAACTTTAGTAAAAGGGGGCAAGGAGAATGCGAGAAGCCAACAAATGTTACAAAGTATCGTGATTAATTTTTTCTTTAATAAAAGAAATACAGTTTTGATGTGTTTTTTTTATTTTCCCCAGGGGCGGATGGGCCCACCGGGATACAGGGAGATTTCCCGGTGCGCCGGTCCTTCAGGCGCCGTCGGCGCCGCTGCGGGAAGTGCGAAAATGATTGAAGTAGCAGAAAAGCCAGATAGCTAATTTTTAGATTGATTTGGCAGTTGACAACTCTGCAACTCCTGGAACTCTATAAATCATAAGTATCCATGTCATTGGCGCCCATACCATTCCTATGGCCGTTTGCACAGACCATTTTAAGGGAGGCTTAAGGATAGGTAGGTACCTTAAAATGACATTTTTACATGTAAAAATGATACTTTAAGGAAGTAGGTATTCCTTAAAGTTTAAGCCTCCCTTAATATGGTCGTTGCAAACGACCACTGATGTTTCATGGCAAGTTGCATTGTTTTCACGTTCGTCTGCCTCTTTTTATCACTAAACAAGTACCACTTTACGAGAAGTTCTGCATTCTGCGTTAACGTAAACATAGATTTATGTACGTACCAGACGCGTAAACTACCACAGTTTGAACAAGAAAATATAAGAGGAAATGTATATTTGCGGCTGGCGGCTGCACATAGGGTGCTTGTTGTACCAGACGCGTAAACTACCACAGTTTGAACATGACAGTTTGAACGGTGGTTTCGTTGCGTTGCGTTGCCCGTATCGTTATGGGCCTCATTTCGTATCCGTATCCGAAAACGTATCTCAATCATTTGACACTATTGAGAAATCTTCCTGTCGGTTATCACTAAAATATTTTTAACAACATAAACACAGTACTTATAGATAAAAAGAAAACCTAAAACAAAGCTAAAAGCACAGCTACAAAATCAATACAACACTTTTAGAGGTTAGAAAACGTTTCAGCCAAGAATACGATCGTTTACGTTATATGTGGCATGCTTAAAAGTACTTTTAGGCGGTCGACGTAAGTCCATGCGTTTATGGATGCGGATACAGATACGTAGAAAAATTTAGGGTTTGCAAACTAGCTCCGGATTGGCGTGTTCGGCCAACTTCGGCCCGATACGGTTCACGTTTGGTCCGTACGCAAAGATACGTTAGCTCATGGGTCACAAGTACGTGAACGCGAATTTGATGTTTTTGGGCATGTGTACGGTTCAAAACCTACGTTTACGTATACGCAAAAAAGCATGTTTAATTCCTCTATTATTAGAGATTGCATGCATAATGGAGTAGAAAAAGAGGGGCGACAAGAGAGTCTCGTCTCTATACTCGAGCGGCGCGACGCAGATTTTCGACGAATAGAGTAATTTCGTCATCTTTTCTAGTAAGCGCCCATACCATTCCTAATGTTTCATGGCACGTTCCATTGCTTGCTATGTTCCGTTTTGAGGTATGTTCGCCTCTTCTTCCTCTTTTTACTATTCCAGATTGCATGCATAATAGGGCCGGTTTCTCAATAGCGAGTCACCTCCGGTTGGTTTTAACCTAACTCCTGGGTAAGCATGTGCAGTTGCAATGTTTACCCTGGAGTTATACTTAACCCGGGAGTGACTCGCTATTGAGAACCCGGCCCATAGAGTAGAAAAAGATGGGCGTCAAGAAAATCTCGTCTCCGTAGTGGTCTATTCTCACAGAAATCACAAACCAATCAAAGCGAATTTCATTGATTGAAAATAGTTAGAAAACTGGTTGTTGGCGATTTGCACCAATCAAAAACGCTGTGACTGACTTATTATTTCTGTGAGAACAGACCTTCGAGCAATGCGGTAACGACTATCGGCGAATAGAGGAATTTCACATGGAATTTCGTCGTCTTTTTTCAACTCAACTGAAGGCTATGCGCAGAAGTCGATCGCTTGTGCTTTTCATTATTTTTTTAATGGGCAGGTGCGGCGCCGCTTCAATCGACTTCCCGCGTCGGTCTGAGGGGCTCCATCCGCCCCTGATTTTCCCTATAGATAATCTGATTTTTATTGCTTAGGTTCAAGAATTTAATAAAAGTAATGAACACCTACTTTATGTTGCTCAATTTTTAATTTGTATGAATTAGAAAATTAGCTTTCAATAGCGTTGTGAAATTGAAGGGATACCACCCCGCCCGGGGGACTTACAACTTATCTTCAAGATCTCGAGTATGACTACGAATACCTATAACAACTTCAACTTTGCTAATTTCGCTGTGTATTTAGCTTCTAGGTATTGCGTTTTTTTAGTAGAGACCGATAATATCAATACAGCTATGTCTCACGAAATTATCGATACTGGAATTGAAATATTCCTACCAAGAGAGTGAAGGGCAAAAAATTTAAAATTTCCAAAATGATTCAGCAATGAATTAAAATCAAATACAATCAATATGTGAGTCAATATGTCATTCGAAGAGAGATAATTGTGAGCTAACAAAATGTTTGTTATATGGAGATGTGGAAACGGACAATCTCACAGAGGCTGTGGAATTATTTGCTTAGCACTTTTGACCACCATGAAAAAATATTAATTTTAGTTATTCCAGAACTACACAATTATTGTCGTCTTGTGATTTTACAGTCATGAAAGTTTTTGATAAATTGGGAAAGTTGTATAATAATCTAGGTTGTGGACCTGATGAATTAACAGTGGACTTTTTGAAAAATACAAAACTACCAAACTGAAAATCTGCTATGTTACCCCTATATTTAAGAGGAGCTGACGTGTGAGATTATAGGCCAATCAGTAAAACATATTTTTTGCCAAGATTTTCGACTGTTTAGTAACATCTAGAATAACTCCTCACTTCAGGAATATTCTTTTGGTTGTCCATTATGGATTTGTGAAGGGGGAAGGGTCCGCAGTGGCAAAAGACCCCGCCATATTTGAATGGAAATTGGTTACCCCCTGATGTTTGGTTGAAATTTAAATATGATATTGGGGATGACGTAAGCAAAATTTTTTAGGAGGGCACAACCTTGTATATATGAAAGGTGAGACGGTGCCAGTTGCCAAATATTGGAATCTTATGGGTATACCAAAGCAGAGTAACTATGGAAGATTTTGATGAACGTAATATCGATTGCTACGAAGTCGACCAAGTTAAATCGAAAAATTCCAACCATTTTGACACCTGTCAAAACCCTGCCAAACGGCTGCACTCATATATTTTTCAGTTTTCAGTATTTTATGATATGTTATTTCAAGGATGATACACACTACTACAGGATTGCTTATCGACCTCGTTTTTGGTAATCGCGGTCATATGGTGTAGCACCATTGCCGACGTCATTAACTAACTCGTCAGCTGTTTGCGCCAACGGTAATTTAGAATTTAAATTTATTATGAAAAATAATATTTAATTTTGTTTAACATAATAGACAAAGAGGAAGATGTGAACGAGATCTAAAAAAGAGTTGTTTTAGCATGTTAATTATTGTAGTGAAACCAAGTATGCAAAAAGCAAAAGCCCGCGGAATCGAAACCTGTGGTGCAAACCTACTACGTCGTGTGTATTATCCTTGTTGTCATTTGATATTGAACGTGAATAGGTCTGCTTCTGCAGAAATCACAAACCAGTCAGAGCGAATTTCATTGGTTGAAAACAGTCAGAAACAGTCAGAAAACTAGTTTCAACCAATGAAATTCACTCTGACTGGTTTGTGATTTCTGCAGAAACAGACCTTATGTAAATTCAAAAACTCAATTCAAAAATTATTGGAAAAAATCGCAGAACTGTCAAAACCTGTCATTTGTTTGAGTAGAAAAAAAGACTCCAATCTGCTTCTTTTTTGTTAAAGGTAGTTTATTGGTTATAAAACATTAAACAAAGTTATTGAGAGGCTCTGACAGCTGTCAAAATGTGACGGGAATGAAATTTGTTCAATGTTTTATCACCAATAGACTACCTCAAAACGAAAAAGAACCAGATTGGAGTATTTTTTTACTAAAAAGGGTTTTGACAGTTCTGTAATTTTTTCAATTTTTGAGCTCAAAATTTACATACCTAAGTTAAAACTTTCAAATGACATATCATAATATATTGAAAACTGAAAAATATGAGTGTCGCAGTTTGGCACGGTTTTGACAGGTGTCAAAATGGTTGACATTTTTCGATTTACCTTGGTCGACTTTGTAGAAATCGATATCTGGTCCATCAAAATCTGCCATAGTTACTCTGCTTTTGTATATTAGATTCCAATATTATAAAGACGCTTAAAGCATTGTGGTGGAAGTGTGGAAGTTCATTGTTGTAGTTAGAAAGTTTTTTAATTTGTACGGTCCAATCGGTAAAAATTTTAAAAAAAATCGTTTCCTCCCCAATTTATTTTTTATCTGAACTACCACAACAAGCAGGACATCATCTGTCACCATTAATAAAAAAGATAGGCTCAGAATCGACACCCCTTTGAAGCTGTGATAGTACTGATAGGGAACATAATACCCCTATCAAATTTCATCACATTTGAGCAAAATTGTATTTTCGAGTAAGTATCTATTGGTTTTATTACTTGTTATTCCTATAAAAATATTTGAAAAACAACCCGCAATTATTTGCACCAAATAGGCAATAAAGCCCTAGTGTTATCAATAAGCAGACACGAATAATCTCAAGCCACCTAATAGCAATTTAATAATTGTATATTTATAGCTACCACAAATTATATTGTTCAAATAGGTACATAGTATAATTACAGTAAATAAATAACTAGTTTAATTTTTTTAATCAGACCAGTAGGTATGTAGAGGTTAATATAACAATTATTAGGCTATAATAAATATGTGAAGAAAATTTCCTAATATACTAGCTACTATATCACATTAACAATAATATTATGGTTTACATTAATATTAATACTAAATAACTCGAACATTTAGAAAATTGGACACTGATCATTATTAACAATACTAAGATTATTATAGGCATAGCTTCAAAATAACAAAAGTTATTCTGAATGGCTTCAATGTTTAGTTTAGTTAATCTTATATAGGTAATATTCTTTTTTAGGCATCAGTTTAAATTAGAGTGAAACATTCCTGAAAAATCTTCCAGTTCTCCAATTTTTCCCAACATTATTCTCTAATAAAATATAAATTTTTGTTCTTGTGGTACACTATTACTAAGTCAGCAAAAAAAACGGTTTAAAAGGGTATGAAATCTGGAAATACCTATACTGATACAAAATGATGTTGAAGGTATTCATCTACTACGGCAAGTAACAGATTTTTTCAGAAATCAAATAATAGCCTAGCAAGGATTATTTAATTTTTTTATTATTTTAATTGAAATTTTGATGCTTCCCATTTTCCTAAAAATATTGCATTTTTTTCATAAGAGAAACTGATTTACACGTCTTTGTACGAGCAAAGGAAAAACTAAGCACAAGACTGGTATTTTTAATCTACTACAAGCCATGGCTTTTTAGTCATTCCAGAATCTTAATATTGGCTTATGGCATTCAAAAATATTTTTAATTATGGTTCTATGTTGTTAAAACAAAAAAATATGTATATATTTTTTCCATGTTGAACACTGACCTGCAGGCATAAGACAAGTAATAAGTATTCAGAAATATGGAAACATTTGAACTTAAAAGTAATAAACTTGTAGATATATTTCTGGACAACTTGGAATATTTGGAAAAACAGAAAATTATTCACATTTCAATATACCTTGTTTAAGAGTTTCAAGACACTTGTTTAGGTTAACTCTGCTTGATGAAAACTTTCGAAAATTAATTTTTTTCTTGTAGGGAAATATACTTAGTTAGAAATTTGAAAAAACTGAAGTCATATTTTTCCAAATTTCAAGTGGGTACCTACAAACTTCATGATCAATAAAATACATCCAAAAATATTTTTGTATTGAATATCCTTAGTTAGTTTTTAATTTCATTCCTAAATGCAATCGTTATTTATAGTTTGCTGTTTAGCATTCATATCCGTATATTCTCCAGGAGCGTCATTGTACGATGTCATTATTACAGGCCTCGGAAATTTGACCGGAGTTTCATAAACAACAGAATTATCTTTTAACTCTTCTGCTGACAATAATTTTTCAGGTTTTTCTAGCTCGGTTTTATCGAAATCGTGTTTTCGGTAAATTCTTTCGCCTCCTAAGTCCGATGATCCTAGAATCAAAAATAAGTGAGTTCATATGGGCAATATTATCTCAACCGACGCATTATGATCATTCTTACCTGGCTCTCCACCATCAATAGGCAAGTTAGAAAAATAACTCCTATTAATTATAGCATTGTCCGATAAATCCAAATAGTTAATATTATCGGTCAGTAGGTTATCAAAGCAGTGGTATAGTTCCAAGAAAGTGGGTCGGGCATTTGAATCCAGGTTCCAACATTTGTTCATTAATGCATATCTTAAACAAATATAATGCAGCCTTAAAATGAAGCCAAATCAAATAGACTAATATGATTGCTATCACAATTTGCTACATTCAATGCAATAGTCTAATATCCAAGTCCAATTGTATTTAAAAACAATTTTAAAGGAAGCTATGTCCACCATTTAAAAAAATAGAAAAGGATATCTAAGTAATTTGTTTTGTATATGTGACAATTTTTTGAATCTAAAATCAATTAAACGTAAAAAATACCAGACAATATTCGATGTTTACCGTTCCAAACATGAATAGGTCCTGCTGCAAACTCAAAAAAAAAAATTCTCGATAAATTAACCTCTCTCCTAACGAGTTTGGCATTTTTCTAATTATTATTCCCTCTCCTAAAGCCCTATCACACAGGGAAAACTGGAAGTAATTAATTAAATTCCGCGGTAATTAACTTTCTAAGCGGATCAGCTTTTGTTTAGTTTAATTTTAATCTTATTTTAATATTCTTTTCAAATTGCTCTGGAATACCTGTTTTTGAATTAGGTAAATTTCTAGGGTTGTTCGTGCTTTTTCCATTTATTCGGATTCGAAAGCTATGGCCAAAAAGGTCTTTTCTCATTTGTTAATGTAAAAAAGCCTGATTAGTGATGTGAGTAGCGAATATTTCAACTAGAACATTCCCGTAAATTACGGAAATTTCGGAAATATTCGGATTTGTTTTGGGAGCATCCGGAACTTTACGAAAATTCAGTTGAAATATTGCGCGAATTTTCGGATTTTAAATTTCCCGCCAGCATTTCGTGTCGCCTCGCGTTACCACAGCGGCACAGGATCACTTAACAGCGGCGCGTTGGCGTCAAACCATTCGCCAAACTAACCATTTTTTTTTTCTTAACGCATTGCAAGTTCATTTTTCAACAGAATATATCTCCTTATATAAACTTGACTTTATTTTAAAACAGTTCCTTACACTAGTGAAGAAAATTGAATGTTCCCTTAAATTTCAATAAATTTCACTAAAATACGAATATTTCGGAAATATTCGGAAGAAAAAATAAATTACGGAAATATTACATCACTTACGCCCGTATTCACCAAAATCAACTTAGCTATCTGATAGCTATCAGTCTGTTAACATTTATCAGTCGGATAATAGCAAGTGCTATTCACCAATAAAAATGGTCCTTCTGACAACAAACAGACTGATAAAAATAAAAATCCATATATTCTATGAACAGTTTTTCTCTTCATTTCATTTAACAACCTCAAAATTTGTCTGTATTATATTTATTTATTAATAATAACTTTTATTGGGCCTGATAACAAACAGCAGCTGTTTGATTTTTAAGATGGGACGTTAGTTACCTAAGCCGAAAGCATTATAAAGCTTAGGTCTAAGGCGTCCCTGATTCTTTTTAGGTAAACCTCAAAATTTGTTCTTACAATACTGTAGAGCAATTCGGTGGTCTCTCCATCCTATATCCTTGCTTCAGTAAATTATACAAATTATGGACAGCAATCCCTGGATAAGGACTCGATCCAAGCGTAATCAATTCCCAAATAAGGATTCCGAAACTCCACACATCCGATTTTGTGGTGTACAAGTGGTCAGCTAATGATTCGGGAGCCATCCACTTAACAGGGACTAAAAGAGAAAATAAGTAAATGTTATGTTATATTATTTGCTACTACTATAATAAATAGTTGCCCAGAGTAATTTAAAATAAAATAAACCATCAAAAATAAAATTATGTACTGATGTTTGGCGCATTTTATTTTTTGACATTCTGGTGGATGTATTTATTGATTGTAGAATTGAGACAAAGTGGCGATCGGACAATATCCAAAAACTCTGATCCTTTGTTTAGATAAATAAATATCATCTTTTATAGAGTTTGCACACAAAATTATTCGTGCATAAACAAGGTGCTAAAATGTTTCCTCCATCTGTCGTATTCATTTCTTTTGACGTTTATTCGCCTCAAAATTGACAGGATTTTACACAAGAATCAAAATTTCATTGACGAGGAGTCATATAAAAAACAGGATTCTTGGAAAATTTTATTGAAAAAACATCAAAAACTTTTCAACAAAAAACTTTCTTTTGGAAACCGATCACTTAGCAACTTTTATAGGAATTTTAATTTTGAAACTTTTGCTTTCCAAATAATCAATATGTGTGGATCCCTAAATCAAATACGCCGGTAGAATGAGTGACGAGCTGAGCATACTGAGCAATGAAAAATCTGATTGATGTCATTTCGACCTAACCCCTCTCGTCCCTCTCACAACCCGCCAATGATTTGTTCATAATTTTTCTTTTCCAAAGAACAAGGATTTCCATTATCAAAGAGGAAATGACGAGCAATGATAGCACCAATCGTGTGCCTAAGAGATCAATAGACAAGAGGAGCGTGAAAGCTATTTCAGGGTACTAAACTAATATAAGAAAAAGTGGAAAAGTAAAATGTGAAAGAGTGCGTAAGCAGTTTTATTCAAATGGCTAGTCTTCTTCAATGAATGAGAAGGGCTTCGTCGGTCGGAGACTTCAAGTTTGTCAAACTCAAATTCCTATTTCCCTCAAAAAAGGGTTACCTACTTTGTTATTGCAAGGCATTTTGGAATAATATATTGCAAGGGCTCTTGAACGATTAATACGGTGTTTCTAGAAATCTTACCTCGGCCCTTGCTCTTCTTAAAATAAGCACTATCTTCATATATGTCCCTTGTAAGTCCAAAATCAGAGATCTTACATACTTTGTTGTCTGCCAATAGAATATTTCTTGCCGCTAAATCTCGATGTACCAACTAAAACATAATATTTTGGATGTTTGACTCTTTTCAAAAATTCAGCACACCTTTATGTCGCTCAAATATGACATTCCACTAGCAATTTGTCTGGCAAACGATAAAATATCACGCGGCTTAACTCTGTTGCTGATGTGGTCATCTAACTGAGCCAGTTCTGTGGTACTTAGAATTCGTCTGCTTTTCCTAAGATAATTTCTGCAAGCAAATAACACTAGTATTGAAAAACGAATGAGTCATTACAAGGTCGTTACCAACCTCAAGGATCCATAAACACAATATTCCAATATAATATACAAAGGTCCATCCTCCGGCGTACACACTCCCAAAAGTTGGATTACGTGAGGATGATTGACCTCTTTGAGGAGCTGATATTCGGAAAACAGGTCGTTATAATCTTGCTTTCTGGAATCCTCTTTCAAAGTTTTCACAGCTACTGCAGAATAGCCTTAAGAAAAAATACTACGTGAAAGATACTCATTGTTGATCCCATTCAATTTTGTGTATGAACAAATTTAGAAAAAGAGGGGGGTTTGTAGTTTCACAGTGGTCCACCTGTTTCTAGAGGAGATATGTCCCAAACTCAGGGTTTATCTATACTAGCATTGATACCCAATTGGTACCCCTTTCGAAAATAGACATATACTATACATGAAATAGATATATAGGCAGGGATGTGCCGTAGACTATGAAATCTACTTTACGCGGTTTGTCTACTCGTTGTCTACGTATTGTTTACATCCACTTTTTTCCATATAGACTATGTAAAGTATATAGACAATGTAGACAACAAAAAATTTGAAATATGAGTAAATTTTTTGAAAGTTTGCATTGCATTAAATTTATATTGAATCAAATTAGACATTTATCTGCAGTTTAATTAACTTTACAAAGCAAAAAACAAAACAAAGCAAAAACAGAAACATAACCTTCTAAAGGCCTGCCAACTGTCAAAAATTGTATACTTTACGCGTTTTCTACATATTTTACACGTTGTCTACATAGATTACATAGTTTACATTGTCTACGCGTTGTTTACACCAGACGTAGACAATCTTTATTTACGCGTAGATGTTCATCCCTGGATATAGGAACCTACCTGGACGTCCAGATATTTTAAAAGCTTTAGCCTTGAGAACTTTTCCGAACTCTCCTTCTCCCAACACCTGTTCAATAAAAATTTGATGTCTAGGAAACCTCCATTTGAGATCCACCTAAAATTACACTTTCAAAAAATGCAAATTGATTTTAATTAGGTAGGTTAGTATACCTACCTGTACATTTACATTATTCACACGGGGACCATCCAAATTAGACATTTGAAAGTTAACCACCAATGGCTCATTTGTGGTATTTCTTTCGACATATTCAGAAAACGGCGTCTCTGATTCCGTCAAATTATTCTTTTTTCCACCAGAGCTTTTACGCGAAATCCGGCATATCAAAGTTGCAATCAGAATTACGAAAATGATGGCTCCTACTCCCCCGCTTGCCAAAAGCATGCATTCGGTACCACAGATGCTTGAATGTTCTATATGAAAAAAAATATATGTTATTTAATATTCGCTATGTTAAACGTTTGTGGCGACATCTGGTGGTATTATATTTGCAGTTTGTTAAAAAATTGATGAAATTTTTTGAAAAATGAAAATTGAACTGTTTTTGGATGCGCCACAGTAGGGACAACATACCTCCACCATGCATACTTGCATAGCGAATATGTGTTAGTTATTTAATCCGATTCATCAGCAATCGATACACAGGGTTTTGCTTAAAGCCGGCGCCACAGGATGCGTCCAACCATTGGTCCCAACATTGGATCCAACGTCACTAGCGCATGGCTACACGATGCCACAAATCGCTATGTTTCCAACGTTGGAAGGCATTCGACACATCGTGTGACGCCGGCTTAAAACGAACGTAAACATTGTTGGGTACCTACCTGAATTCTTTATTCCAACCAATTCTCCCTTTGACTTCGTGTTAACACTACCATTCGCATTTATACTAATACTAGGAAGTTTAACAATGCAAGTACATCCCATTTCGCATACTAGAACAGCGTTGCATCTATCCACACCCCTTCCGGTAATCTCGTTCAATTTTGTTGGAAACACAGCAGCTAAAAAAGTGGGTACCCACCTATATTATGTATATTTCAAGAGTAGTAAAGTATAGTAAAGGTAAAATAGATCTGTCAATGCTTTGTTGTGTATAACTATGCTTGTGAAACTGGTAAAAAAAAACATAGATGAAGTTCTGAACAAAACACCTAAATTCAGTGAGCTTTTCAGAAAACCCGCCAGCAGGAATATCACGAGGGAAAACTTTCCTGGTTTGAGGATTTAACTGAATAGAGCTATGAATAGGTACACTAGCTCCAATTCACTGAAATTTGCATTCCCGGAACTTTTTCAGCACAAGAATCAGAAGTAATTTGAGAAATATTTGAAGAACATAACCTCATAAAATAGAATTTTCCCTATGAGCCCAGGCCCAGCGGCTTTATCATTATTTAGTTGGTTGATATAGCTTTTCCATCCTTTTGATTTCAACGTGAAAATCTCTGTTCAGGAGTTCCTGCAAGTGCTTCTTCCATCTGGAGTTGTTAAATGCTATGGATCTTTGAGTAGCTGAGTTCCGTCTCTAGTTTGTTGTGAACTAAATTTGGGTAGTTTCACCAGATACAGTAGGCTCTCCTCTTCTGATCTATGATGTTCTGAATTTCTTTGATGATATTTCTTTTTAATGGAGCTCGTCTATTCTTGGCAGGCTGTTGGCAAATCTGTCTTAAGCATTGACCTTTGCTATTCAATATTGTCGACCGTGCCCTTGCCCCTTGCCCCTTGTTACCATCGTTCTGGTGACACTTATTGTAGAGTCATTACATAGCTCTGGTTACTTTCACATTACGTTGGCCTTTGGCGCTCACAATAACGTTTGCACGACATTTTTGTTGTTCTTAGCTGGCCCGTCATTGTTTAGCTCTTGAACGACATCGACCGCTTATGTCTTTAATTGCGATTGGTGGTTTGAGATGGTGCCTTTGCCTCAACATCAGGAACAAAATAGAATGGCTTAGGTTTTGACAGAAAGGTAGCTCGCCGAAGCCAAACCCGGTACCAATTCAATTCAATTTAATTCAAAATAGTTTATTTCAAGATACAATAGGCTTACGACTAAACTGTAAGAAATAAACAAAGACACTGAAGCAAAGGCGTTTCGCTTGTTAGTGCCGTGCAATTTCGTAATGAAAAAAAAAACAATATCGTTTACAATTTGGAGAACATTACTTTGTTTCTACTTTTGGGGATGAATTATCATTTTTCGGCAAATTGTCACTTTTGGGTAGAATTGTCACTTTTGGGTATATTGTCATTTTTGGGTATAGGTAATTTGTCACTTTTAAGTAAATGGTCATTTTTGACCATATCAGTAATTTTTGGGTAAATTGTCACTTTTAGGAAAATATTTAACTAAAACTGTTGCCACTAAAATTTGCACCCATTAAGTTTAAAGGTTTGTTTGTTTGTGTCGCACTTACTTGAACTGTAATATTTCAGATTATGGCAGATACACCCATATAAAACGTTCACAGACAAACGCCCCAAAGTGGGAAGTGCTGCCCCGAACGACACAAACAAACCATAAGTTTATATAACTATTTTAAATAAATTATGCACTGTTGCTCTATTTTGCGTACAAAGCCAATTTTTTACTCTAAAGGTGGGTTTAGCCAACTCTTAATGGATAATGCACAATGTTAATTCATATTTGATAATGTGTAATTCATAACGCGTAGGTAATGCATAAGAGGGAAGATGAGGTGTTTATACAAGGCATATAATTTTTAACAACCGACAAGACAGCTGAGTTTGACACTTGTTATTTTTCATAAATTATTAAATAATTAAATAAATAATAAATTAGGCTTTATATTATTAGGAAAAATTCCATTTGTATAAATAAAAACGGAAAAACTCGATTCCAGATCAAAAACCATGGAAAACATCAAGAAAACAGACAACAAGATTTCGACATTATGAAGCAAAACCAAAACAAAAACAAAGTTGGAAATAAATTAATATACGCTTGCGCTCTAGCATTTTTTTTCACAATGCATAATGGATAATTCGTAAAAGCTAAAAGTTGGTCAACTTTATGAATTACGCATTATACACTAAATTATCCACTATCCACTATGCGTTGTATAAACGGGTGTATTTAAATATGGAGTTTTAAAAATTATCGATTTCGATTATGAATTAAAATTGTGCATTATGCATTAAGAGTTGGCTAAACCCACCTTAAGTTTAAAATTGTTTAAAATACTTTTTATGTATTACCGCTTTTAGGTGATTTCGGTAGGAAATTGTAAAATTTAGGAGCCAAATAATATAAAAAAGATCTGTGATAATTTTGCTTGGCGGCACTACTGCAAACCCATCTCGTTGCCTTGTGTTGTGTCCGTCTGTTATCGTATCTGGTTTTATCTTTTGACGGCCTTATACACATAAGCAGTTGTTGAAAGTAAAGCTGTCTAATATTGCGTAATTTTGCTTTCGTGTATAAGAGGTCACTAGAGTAGTTTCGATTTTTGTTGTATCACTTTTATGGCCCATTTTTGAATTAGTTCCAAATCATTCAAGTATATGTCCCTCACTGCCCACCACCCGGAATACCATAACTTATGTGAGACTGAAAGAATGCAAAATACACTTGTTTTAGATGTTTTATGTCAAGATAGGTTTTGAGAAAATAAAATTTTGTAACTAGGTGTCTTATTTTATTCGCTAAGTGATGTATATGTTTGTCCCATCTTAAGTCACAGTCTATTGTAATTCCCAAATATTTATTGTTATCGACTTTTGAAATTATTAAATTTTTCTCAACTTTGAGTTCATCAAAACTTGATAAATTGTTGACATAGGAAGTAAACGGTAGGTACAAATTTAGTCTCATTTTTATTTAAGGTAAGTTTATTTTCCTGGAACCATTTATTAATAGTTAATAGATCTGCCTCCACTTTGTTCTTTAGCGATTTCCAGTTGCATGCCGTATAAAATATCACTGTATCGTCAGCAAAACTGATGAATTTTCCTTGTCTATTTAGTTGGAGTATATTATTGATATATATAGTAAATAATACCGGTCCAAGAACCGTCTCCTGTGGTACGCCACAGGTTACAGCTCTGCGATCGCTCTTTGTATCCTCTATTGCAACCTATTGCTGTCTGTCGGTCATATAGTTTTTTAGTAAATTAAGGACTCCACCCCTAAATCCACAACGTTCAAGCTTTTCTATAGGTTTTTTATGGCAGCCGGTGTCGACCGCTTTTGTTAAATCGATAAACGCGCCAAGAGAAGGTTTTTTTTATCCATTGATGTGAGAGGCAAAATTGCATCTTCTGTTGGCTTTCCTGCTCTAAATCCAAACTGTTGATCTGATAGGATATTGTGTTTATTTAGGAAGCTCGACAGTCGAAACTTAATATTTTTTTCAAAAATTTTTGAAATACTAGACAATAATGAAATTGGTCTGTAATTGTTTGCCTATGTCAGTTTTTGATCCTTGTTTAAAAAGTGGTCTTATTTCGCCGATTTTTAAAATGTGCCCGTATTAAAACAAAAGTTAATCAAGTATGTTATTAAAGGTGTGATCTCACTCGATATAGCCTTTGAAGTTTCTGATTTGATACAATCATGTCCAGGTGCTCTATTAGGTTTTAACACGTTTTAAGCTATGAATAGTTTTCTGGACTTTCGCGGTAGTGGTTTCTCTGAAATGAAACAGACTACCTATGTGTCGACCAGTTGTTGTTTTCTTGAAAATTTTCTGGCTTTTCTATATTTTTGGCAAGATTTTCCCCAATATCACAGAAGAAGTTGTTAAGCTCATTTGCGATTTCAGTTTTATCCGTTATTATTTTAGAATTCTGTGACTCAATTTTTTCTATTTTGTTGTTTTGTCTAGGCTTATTGCATATTTTGTTTACACAATTCCATAGAGCACTTGACTTATTCTGGTTTTTTGATATTAATTTTTATGCGTACTTCCGTCCTGCTCTTTCCAGAATTTTTGCAGATTCTTCCTTATAATCTGTATATTCAATTTGTTATTGTTTGGCTTCTTATGGCTCTCGTTATACGGCCTATTTTTTTCTTGTATCAGTTTTAAAATTTCGTTTGTTATTCATCCTTTTTTGTCATTTTTTGTATTTGATTAAGCTATCAATCGAGTCTTTTTTGAAATTAGGAACTGTAATGCCTTCACAAAGTTGGATGTTGCTTCATGTTTGTCTGCATTATATAACACGTTTGCCCAATAGTGATTGTTTAGGTCTTGTTTTAGTTGTTTATAATTGATGTATTTTTTATACCGCGTGTTATTGTCATTTATCTCTTGTGTAACGTGGTCAGTTATTTTATAATTAATGACGAATGGATGAAGGTTTTTCCCACCAAATCCCTTTACAGAAAAATTATCAAGACACGTTTTAGATTGTGGCCTGGTATAGTATTCATTATAGGATGTAAACCACTAATTGCTAAAATGCTTTTATATTTTTCAACAATCGATTTATCTGTTTTTAATAAATCCAAATTTATGTCTCCAACGATCACATGGTTATTTGGGGTTTTGTTCAATAACAAATAATCAGTTACACTGTCAACTAAATTTTCCTCGTTTATAGCTGGAGATCTGTAAATACGGGTGAGTAAAAACCTATTCGGATTCTCCCCCATCTCCAATTCAAGATACTTGACCTTTCCTATAAACTTAAAATATTGTTTAATTTTTATAGCATTTTTTATTGAAACAAATAGTGTACCATCACATCTGTTATAACTACCTACCTTCATTATAAATACAGTCATGTATAGTCTGGTAGGTTAAATAGGTGGGGGTTAAAAATTCTATGTGATCCTGTTAAAACTATAATGTCAATTTCTATTTTTATTTGTGTCACAAAACACAGAAATTCGTCGAGATTTCCCCTGTTACCACATCAAGAGGCAAAATGCTAAAATCATTTTGTCTAAAAGAATTATTTAAGGTGTTGATATCATTAATCAGTTTCACAGAGACTTGTTCCTCGGAAAAATCTTTTATAAATGAGTCCATTTTTCATTTTAAAAGATAATTTTTTGGGTGGAATTTTGAAGTTGAAATCTTCACAAAACAGAATTACAATAAAATTACAACAAAATAAAGTATAAGTATTAAAAACCATAAACTAAAACTTACAGCAAATAGTACAGAACGGGTTTTTTCTATATCCTTTCTTTGTTTTTGTCCACTGACCTACTCTTGAATAATACATAAATCTGTGTTTTTGTCCCTAATACTTATGTTGTAGTTTTATTTAATGTCTTTATCCATAATAAGAAACGCTTCAGCGTAATTTTGCCATGCATTTTTAGCACATCAATCTGATTGTTTAAGTCTACATAATTTTGTGAATGTACTCGTGGAGGGGAGTTTTACGTCATATATTTTTTTTAAGGTCATCTGCCCTGGACAAGCTACCACTGGAAGGCGTCTGCCCTGGACGGGCTACCACTGGAAGGCGTCTGCCGCGTGTTTTTGGGTTTCTAATATAATTCTCTACATGCCCAAAAAATTTCATTTGTGTACTCGTAAGGGGGGTTTTTGATCAAAATTCCCTTATTTGGGGGGCGATCACAGGAGCGGGCTACCACCCATCGCTGGCAGACGGGCGGTTTTTGGTTACGAATGATAAAGTGTTTCGAGTACCTATAATGAAAATTTTGTGCCCGATGAGGGGGGTGATTTGACGCTGGGCCACCGGTCTATTGATTTTTAGGAGAATTTCGATTATCCTTTGCCCTTGTTCCAGAGTCTGGTGTTGCAGGTGCGCTGTTGTTCCGAAACGGCTGATTTTTGTTAATGAAAAAATCACCAAATGTCTCTTCGTGCACCCCCTTTAGGTCTTCTATAGTAAAATGCTCACCATTCACCACTAGATGGTTTTTATTAATTTTACCTGTAACTTGCTTGCTTTTGGCTATTTTACAGTATATATACAAAACTTTTTGGTCTTCTTGCTGTTTCGCAGTTAGATCATTCATGATGCTAATTCCGGTGCCTTTAAGCTTACTTAGATTTTTTAGAATAATTTGCTTTTGTATAAATCTGACAAACCCTACGATAATAGGCCTCGAAGTTTTTTTGTCTTCTCTTCCAATCCTGTACAAATTATCAATATCTTGTGGTTGGGTATTAATAGACAAGGTCCCAGTGAGCAATTTCAGAATCCGTTCCTCCAGCAAGTCCTCAGTTTCTTCCCTTAGGCCAAATATAACTATTTGGTTCTTTTTGGCAGACTCTTCAAGATATTTTAGTTTTCTGTTTAGGTTAAAGTTTTCGCTTTCCAGCTCATAAATCTTAACTTCCAAATCTTGTATTTTGACTTGAGAATAACTTAGATCTTTTCTAACTGGATATCACTTTGTATAGTACTGTTTTGTTGCTTAACTTCTTGCAAAAGGTCAAAGACTTGTTTTTTGGGGATTGTCGATATTGTATCGCATTGATTCTTGTCGGTTTATCACATAGAATGCCTTGCCGTCCGATCACGGTATCTGCGGTGTTATCAGCGACCTTGACGCACCGCTGACTTGCTATTTTGTGGGTATTCGTTGTATTATTCACAGGCTATCGTGTTTTAATTACTATTTAACGGACAAACACAAGTGATTTACTCACAGTTTTTTAGCAGTGTCGTATAACCCTGTTTTCAAGAATCGTTGTAACGAAGTTACTATTTTTTTTCTCTTTCCGCTACCCGCCACTGACTTCGTTCTAACTAAATTTTATTTAATATTTCGCGCAACTAGCTACTTTTTCTTTAAAATTTCTTTCTAGCAATGTAAGCAAATGCGTTTGCTGCTAAGCGAAGACTTTGCTACTACCCATTCGTGTAAGCTGATATTTAGTTCCTAACTGGTGGGACAAACAGAGCCAATTCTAGTATGAATTGCTTTCAGGGAATAAAACTATTACTGCTGCGGTAATCCAGGAGCTCGGCTTGGACTTACTATAAATTCGCTCCAATCGCCCGATCTTGGTTTATTAGTTTTTAATCTTTCTGTTTCTCTATTGAATAAACTTCAAGGAATATTTTTCATGACGACATTGCACTCGAAAGTTGGCTTGGCGACTTCTTCGTTTGCAAACCACTGGATTTCTTGAAGCAGAAAAACTGTTAGTTGGAAAGCATCAACAAACAATGGAGGAGGACATATCCTTGAAAAGATCATTTTTTTGGTTTATGGGAAGAAATAAATTTTGAATTCGATAAAAACGCTTTGGTTTACTGCATTAAGCTGGTAGATTTGTTCTATCTTTAACTCTAAAACAGTTTCCTGTGCATTTTTTTCTTTTGGCATTTAGATCATTCAGCTTTACCACTCATCAAGTTTAATAATATAACTTTCATGTCAAGTCGAAAATATCAAAATAGTAAAAAAGAAAATATCTTTTTCCATACACGTATAAATAAATACACCAATAACATCAACATTTCATTGGCGCACTGAAACAAACAAACTCTAAAGGGACAATCGTTCAATATGCTTTCGTAGAAGTTTCTTTTCCAAAAAATCAAATATTTCCTAGCAAAAATCAGAGAAATTCGTCGGATTGCAGAATTTCAATTTTATATATCTATGGATAGCTTTCTCCCAGTCGAAATATTTATTCATATGTGTATGGCTTACTCATTCAAAAATATAACCTTTATCTAATGCGTACTTTTGGTGCAGTCTTGAGGACACAAGAAGTCTTCTGCCAGCATTTCTAGAGAGTCACAGGTACCATCTGGACAGTACTTCGTGTCAGAAGTGCATGTGGAATATAAATGAGTTTCGTGGTTTCCTGGATTTTTGTCTCCTCGCCACATGCAGCGATGTGGACCAGATCTAAAAATAAAAAAAATATATTTATAGGGTAACTAGGATAGGTAATCACTAGTGATACTGGAATAACTTAAAATCATCTCTATCTGATTTAATGTATCAGGTCAAATCAAAGCAATTTTTGTGCACAGAGCCACACTTTTTTTTGATAATGCTATCAAAAAAGTCCTTACCTAGTCTCCACGCTAGTTAGTCCTCCGGTACCCAGCCCACAACTATTTTTTTTCATACAGCTCTTCGCCGTTTTTTTACTTGAACAAATTACCCAGTCTTCTTCATTTTCCAAGGTAGTGCAAGTGGCTTCAGGTTCATCAACTATTCTAACGCTAACTTCTTCATACTGTGTGACGTTGTTTTTTTGCCAGGTGATGTTCAATCTGAAAAAGAATTGGATGAGATCCTTAACGCTTGAACTATGATAGTACTATTCTTTGTACTCACCCCAAATATTCTGTCGTAGCATTCTTCAACATAAGAGGATCAATAACATACACAATTCCATCATGAGTAATCCCAAAAGGATTTTTTTTACTATTTATCATGGTACATTGATAGTTCCCAGTATTTTTCCCATTTATGGGTTGCATAACCCGTGCGAAGGGTGCAGCGGTTCTATATTAAGAAAAATCAACTATGAGTTTGCAATGTTTGCATAAATTTTGAAATTAATTTCAGTAATCGTTCCGCTTTGAAACATAAAAGTTTTAGTACAGGCACGTACAGGCTAGAGCAATTTTGTTTCAGTTACGATGGTAGCCCACAATAAGCAAGATAAAATTATTAAATTGAACAAATGTATTAAATGCTTCCATTACATTTCGAAAGGCACGCGAACTTTGAGTGTCTCCGGAACAGGAGCATAAATAAGGGTAATATCATCTTAGTAAAAAAATGTAAATTTTATTTTTTATGCTAACTAACGGCAGGACAAATTGAATATTGTATGTCTCTCAGCTTTAGCTCATAGAAATGCAGACAAAGAGTTTTCATTTTTATTTTTACCTTTTTAAAAAATATTTTGAATAGAGTAAGTTTTTTTATTTAGGAACATAGCAGAGATTGACCCTTGATTTTTGGGAACTCTATTGGTGTGGATTCTTTGGATGATTTTCACAGGGATATTGCATCGGAGAAAAATTTTCCTTCTACACTAAGAGAACTAATTAAATGGAATTACTCGAAATGTGATTTTGAGATACCTTTTTTTCTTCGCTATTTACAATGTAAATTTATTCAAAAATACATAACTTACCGAAATATTTTGCTATTGTTGTTGAATATATTGGATCTTTTAATTCGTTTATTTCCGAATTCAAATATTATATTTATGTAACCCTAGAAAGAAATATTATATTGCTTAAGCATTGAGGTTTTTGAACTGGATACTGGATACTTACAGTGATATTTTGTTGTGCACATTTTTTGTTTCCATTAGTTAATCCCAGCCTAAATGTACTATCATTTCTGAGAGTTAAAGATTTCAATACTTCTAGCTCTGAAAAAAAAAACAGGCACGAATCAATTATAAGTCAACATCAAAATAAATTACCTACTGCAATGTATAATAGTTCTATTTTTATTGTATCTTAAATCCGAATGGAAATTACAAATTGGTGAAAGAACTCCTGAAAATTTGACATCTTCAATAAAGCTGCGATATTTGTTCATTCCCATTGGCATTTCATCTAGGAAAATAAGATTATCTAGACTATCGCCCTAAAAAAAATACCATGTACAAATATGTTTGACCTAATCTGATCATACCTTCTTCAACTTGGCAGAGTCAAGAAAAAATATCTTTTTATGATCCTGGGGTTCTGGAATGGTACATTTGATATCATCCATGTCGATTTCCAATTCTTTGTAAAATGTAACATATATGTCCTGAGTAAACAATGAACAGCTTATATTTACAAAAGTTGGGAGTTCATTTAAAAAATTGCCGGCTTCTAATGTCCAAAACGGTGACTGGTCGTCGGGTGGATACAACTTTACAGGATCTGATTCTGAAAAAATATCAGCAATAAAAATATAAATTTTATTCATTCTTTTTAAGACAAAGCACTCAAAGACACTGTGCCATCCAAACTACATTTAGTATCAGAAGCTACACTTCATTCATTGAAGATTGGAGCTTTTCTGCTAATGTACTAATGAAAAGTACATTCAAGTACCGAACAAATAAATAATAATGTAACCAATGACCTTTTACTTCGTAATATACTTTGCTGTGATAAATAAGTTACTAACATAAAGGGAGATGGCGAACAAAAAGAGGTGTTTGGAATAAATCTTTGAATTCAAATAACTAGAGATTTTCAATTTTTTTTATGGTTATTTATGATAATAGTTCGATATGAACACCATAATGAAACGCGTGTAACGTTAAACGTTACACAAGTTTCATTAAAAAAATTCATATCGAATGTCTATCATTCAAAATTAAATCTATGATGGTCCAAATAGACTTGATTTGCCTTGAAATAGCAAAAACTTTTTAAATTCAAATTCAAAATTTAGCAGGTGCCCATATTAGTTGGCGAACGCGCTTGTTGACTTTTGGAATTTTAACTTTGGCAGCTTCAATATTGGAGTTCACTTAATAATAATAATATGATTCTGAATCCGAAAGTGTCCCTTTGGCCAAGGACATGGAATACATGACAGACGTGATTTTGGTCCTGGAACGCCCAATCACCCTGCTCAAAGTCGCTGAGAAGGTCACCCCTTCGACGAATTAGAAAGGTTCAGAAAGCGAGGGAGAGCTAGAGGCTCTTCCCGGCAAGCCCATCAAAAACTCAAACGTAGGTTAGACGACTACGAAAAAGAGATGGATTTGGAAGCTTTGAAATCGGGGATCCAGGATAATTCAGAAGATGTTATCCGAGCCGCTCCCAGGCCATCTTATGCCGCAGCTTCGAAGGTGCCCCAAGCTGTCACAATCTAGGGCACCGTTAAATGGATCATCATTTCAATAGATCTTAGGTTGGAACAGATCGTATTCGACCACGCCAAGGAAGGTGGGAAGAACACCAACATCCGCCTCAACACCACAGATTACAGGTCTTTGATACTTACCAGCTCTAGGAGGAAAAGAAACTGTACACGCGGTAATCCGTGAATTAACAATTGACATGCCGATTGCAGATATTCCAGAAGAATTGATAAGTCAGAATTCCAAAGACGCATAAGTGACCCAGATTACTGACAAGAGAAGAATGATCCGATCTTCCTTGTCTCGACCAACGACCAGAGGATATAGAGAGTAGAGAGATTGAGAGGATCAGATCCGAATTACCTCAACACTTTTACAGATGCTTGACATTTGGGCACACACAGGCAGGCAAGTGCTCAGGTAATTACAGATACAGAAAGGCCGATGCCACCAGAAAGGCTTTCGAACATGCCAAGAAGTCGAGAGACTGTCGTCCAAGTAAGATTGCTCCCAGAGGCGCAAACGGATGCTGACATGGTCCAATCTGTCATTACGACTCTTTTGCCGATGATTGAGAAGATCGAATACAGAAGAGTCCAGTAATAAGGTCCATCGCTACAAATCCACTGAGTTAAGCTAGGCAGGCCCTCTGATTCCTCTTTCACCTTTAGAAACTACCTTTGGAAAAATTGAGCCTTCAAGATGAAGGACATGCAGAACTATCATGGGATCAGTGTTTCTTGGATATGAAATCTTGGAAGCTATGAATGCAAACACCATAAGAGTTTTAATCGAGAATTTTCTAGATCCAGAAGAGTGTGCTGGGCTGGGGATAGTTTCAGAATACCTATAACCATCGGGACAAGGTCTTTATAATAGATTCCGGCATCTATCAAAAAATAATAATAATGAATTGTGTTGAGAGCTTTTCTGAACACGGCCTGTTCGATTGGCTGGTAACGGTCGAATTTCTGGCACAGACGGTTTTTTTATTCTCTTTGTTAGCAGCTTGTAGAAGATTGACTCCATACTGGCTCGTTTTTGTTTTTCTGTAGGTATTCTTATCGTCCGTTTCATGAAAAGATAGCTGATTTTCGCATTTTTCGAGGCCTGGAATCTCTTTTTTTATAATTATCTCTTGTCCGATTTCCAACACGTCTCTTGTGATCTGATTTCTTCCCGGAGTTTTCGTTATTAGGTTTTCTCTTAACGATGAATTCTAGTTCTTTTGAGCCCACTTTCAGGACTGATTTTCGCAATCTCTGATTGGAGTTTTCACGACAAGTTCTCTACAGATTTTGTGAACGAACTCTTATGTTCAAGTTGTTTCTTCGATTATTTCTTTATTTTGTGCTATCCTATCTCTTCCCATGGCAATGAGTACTTATGAACTTTTTCGTGTTGTTTCTGAAGGAAATGGAGTTTTGAATCCGTAAGTGCGCTCAGTCCCATTTTCCACAAAGGCACTAATCTTATGGAAAATGGCTTTCGGTGAAATTTTCAGAAATTTGGAAATGTTGTGCTCCTGGGGCATTCTAAACAAAAATTATCATTGGCACCAAAAAATCCAACGAGCCATTTTTGTGTTAGGTATGTTAAGTTTAAGAGATATCAGATGCACACACTTCAATTTTTAGTCACTTTATTAAAATGTAGAAATGACATTCATGAACAGTCTGCAAACTGTCAGAAATAATCGCCCGGATAAGTTGCCGATTTATCTTGGAACGACGGCATTGAAAACATATGTGGGCGATGACAGGTTGCAAACTGTCAGAGACAGAGACTCTTGTGAGAACAGACCTATTGGCGGCACGTATTCGTACATAAATAAAAGCTGTGATTTCCGCGCTCTGCGCTATCTTATTACAGGCATAGGGCCGTCATTTGATAAAACCCGAATTGATTGTAGCTCCTAACGGGTATAGGTAGACCTATATACCTACTTTACCTAGAAGGGCCGTATTTCTCTAACGTAACAATGATGTAGCAATTTTACAACGCGTATTTGAAAGGAACATAGAGGGTTTGAAGCAGTGGATTCAAGAGGGCGACATTTTCATGGAAGACCGAGGATATCGAGATGCTGGTCCATTGCTTCAAGGCTTAGGCATTTGTCTACAAAATGCCAATACCTCTAAATCGGGGATAATTTGAACTAAGATACTACCGAAGAAGCAAAATAATCACGTTTAGTAGCAAAAACTAGGTGGATACAGTTGAAGCACGAAATGGACATTTCAAATCAACTTTCAAGTTTTAAATGAATGACTAATACTATCTTAATGGCACATCTTCTTTATCTCGGCGACCTACATGCCATATGCTACAAAACTGTAGTGAGTCGGTTGGTTCTCTACTCTCTGGGGTAATGCAGGAATGTGTCGACTCGGGACGCATACCAGAGAAATGGAAGCTCTCTATAGTGACCCCCCCCTCTTTAAAAAAGACAACAGACACAAACCGGAAAATTATCGACCCATAAGTCTAACATGTAGTGCATGGAAAAATTCATGGTCGAGGAATTGACAGTTTTTTTCATTAAGAACAATTTAATACCACCATCACAGCATATGTTTCTATCAAGACGCTCCAGTGTCACCAACCTATTGGAGAGTCTTAATAACTGGACAGAAAACCATGATAACCTTCAGCCCACTGATATTATACAGGGTGAGTTTTTTAAAGTGTTATAATGCGATATATCAAAAACAGCTGCAAATTTTTTTTTGACATTTTGGTGACGTAATAAGTACACGGGGGGGACACATTTTACGTTATTTTTGACATTTGCCCCTTCACTCTCTTGAGAGGAGTGAGTGGGGGGTCATTTTCTTATTTTAAATGGAAAGATGTGTTTTTTATTCTGAAATACGATTCTACATACAAAATGGAGTCTGTTCACAAATTATTTTCCAAATTGTTCAACTAAATATGGAATTATGACTAAAAAGGTAACTACAATAAAAAAAAATCTTATCGCCTAATTTTTAATTATATATCGTCTATTATGCCTGAAAAGTTGTTCAAAATGACCGCCTTCGACTTCCAAACATTTCCTTATTCTTTCCCGGAATGAATTTCATACTCGTTGTAACATTGCTGGGGTCACCAATAAACATGCAGAACGAATTCTGTTTTTCATGTTCTCTGGAGTCGTAGAAGTCGTAGGAGCAGTAGCCATTACTTCATCCTTTTATAAATCCTAATAAAAAAAATCAAGGGGGTCCAAACTGAATAGGAACTGAAAAAAAATGATTTGAATCTTGCAATTATTAAAAAAAGCTGCATCAGAAAAAATATCATTATTCAAAAATTGGTAATTTTCGCGCATTTTTCTTGAAGCCCAAGTGCAAAAATTCATGAGATTCTCAAAGTCATGACCCTAAAGATCTTGATTAATTGTGATGTGGTAAGGATGAAACTTGTACCTATGCAGAATTGCCATAAATTATTGTTTGACTTATTCTAGCATCTAAAGCAAGCCGCCCAGTATACGTGTTTTAGGAGCTATCCTATGAAAGTTATCCCTGTTGCCATCGGAACCCCAATGTTTATTTAAGTATGTCACATAAGAATTTTTACGTGTCATTGATAATTGAATTGTGTTCAAAAAGAAAAAACAGGGAAGCGAATTTTAATGTAGAAGTTTATATGTTATTAATTTTGCGAGAGTGCAGAAAAAATTATAGGGAGGCTGCAAGTCTGTGGAGAGAGAGGTTTCCGAATATTCCAAAATCTCATATGGCCTTCAAAAGATTGGAAACCAGAAGTCGTATGACTGGTAGTCTAAAAGCCAAACCAAGAGTTACGGCTAGAACTCAAACAAATGAAAATATGGCAGTTGGTGTTTTAGGAGCGGTAGCTATTGATCCTCAAACAAGTACCAGGCGGCTTGCTTTAGATGCTGGAATAAGTCAATCATCAATTATAGCAATTCTGCACAGGCACAAGTATCATCCTTACCATATTACACTCCATCAAGAGCTATACAGAAATGACTTTGAGAATCGCATGAATTTTTACACTTGGGTTTCAAGAAAAATGCGCAAAAATGACCATTTTTTGAATAAT